CATTTGATCCACTCTTTCAGCGCTTATGTGATACTCTTTTGGACCAAATATTTCAATCAACCCATTGAATGGTATTTAAGTGATAGTGAGCTGACCATCGATGGCGAGCGGTGTGCGGGAAGTCCTACTGGCAGTCATCGACACCGCGAATGTATGGTTACCTCCGATCGGAAGCGCCTGTCGGTCAGCGACGGACTAGTGTTTCACTGGCGAGACTTAGACACCGATGACATGCCGTCCCATCGACTGCGGCACCAGTTGTGGACACTGTATAACTTGGAGGCGCCCACACTTACCTACCAATACGCCGGCGCTAACCTCTGTGACAGTGATATAGCCTTTAACCTCACGAGTAGTTACCGCACGGACTCCGACCTATGGGTGCCTTACGGGAGGCTTACGAGACGTAATCACCGGATATCTGGTGGTACGCGACGGCAGAGACTACTACTACCGGTGCTGTCGAGCGATGGCGTCGACTTGGATGGGAAGTCCAAAGAGATCGCGTGGTTTGTCAGCAATTGCGAGACATCGGCGAAGCGCGAGCTATACGTCCAGCAGTTGTCGCGCTATATATCGGTCGACATATACGGCAAATGCGGGCAATGGGTGTGCGAACCACACCGGAGTCCACACTGTTTTGCGCGCATTGCCAGTGAATACAAGTTTTACCTGTCGTTTGAGAACTCCATTTGTCGGTAATTGTCGCCAATTGTCTCGTCAATAGTGTTTGAAAAACATGAAAACATTATTTTTATGAGTTTTTAATTGAGATTTAATTTGTTTTTTATTCAGCGATTATGTGACGGAAAAACTGTTTGATCCGTTGAACTACGCTATGGTTCCGGTGGTGTTTGGAGGCGCCGATTACGGCCGACTCATGCCCTCCAAGTCCTATATAGACGCCACGCGACTCACACCCAAGCAATTGGCGGATCAGTTGCTGCAGATTGGGTCCAATCGTAGCGAATATTTGTCTTATTTTGATTGGAAGCGAGACTTTGCGGTGGAGTCGGCGCTGGACCTCAAGTTTGAGGTGTTGTGCCGTTTGTGTCGGGCGTTGAATACTCGCAAACCGTATCACCATTCGAGTCATACCGGCGCTGAGGTGACGAAGTGGTGGTTCCAGAGCTCGGACTGCAAATCGTGGGTCAATGAGAGCCACAGTAATGCCAATAGTTTTGTGAATGCGTTATGAGATTGTGTTATGTTTTGTTTTGTTATGCATTTGAATCTCAAAGTATTTTCCCAATACAGAGCTCGGACTGCAAATCGTGGGTCAATGAGAGCCACAGTAATGCCAATAGTTTTGTGAATGCGTTATGAGATTGTGTTATGTTTTGTTTTGTTATGCATTTGAATCTCAAAGTATTTTCCCAATCTTTTCATATAATGCTCATATGTTTTACGTAATGATCTGTTATTTTGTGTGAATTCTTGTAAAATAAAGTTATTTTTATAGACAATAAAATTCTTGTTATGAATATTCTGTGAAATTCTTTATTATAATTGTGTTTTGAGTGAATTGAATAAAAATATTTATACTTTTAAAATACCTGTATATTGTAGAAATAAAAGGCTTTTTATACAAATATTATATATATAGCGGTATTAATGAAATTTATGTTCATTTAAAACTTATTTATAAATAAAATTATAATCAAGAATTGATAAAATAATTGAAACATTTTATTAAAAAGGATAAAATAGCGGTAATTATATAAAATGGGTTACAATTGGTTCACAATGAAATGCAAGAATTTATGCGAAAAGAAATCAATGGGAAGAATGGCTTTAAATCACACCAAAAGGAGTCGTTTTCGCTGTATTCATACAACGACATACAGGATATGATTTATGTAACAATTAGTCAATAAATCTGCAAATGATATGCTGCCAGACATACAGTACAAGACATGCACTCCTCAATGAGTTATGTTTTTAACTATACATTAATTTAGTGTTTTTTTAGGTAAATAATTGTATAAACATTTTATTGAAAAACACAGAACTACTAAACTTGAGCCCAGAATCCAACACTAAATCTCATATTTTCTTATCACATAATTCACATAAAATTCTTAATTTTGAAGTTTAAAAACTATCATTTTATTAGCTATTCATTCATTACTAACAGAACTACTAAACTTGAGCCCAGAATCCAACACTAAATCTCATATTTTCTTATCACATAATTCACATAAAATTCTTAATTTTGAAGTTTAAAAACTATCATTTTATTAGCTATTCATTCATTACTAATACTTAACTGTATATTATTCCCAAATCACAAACATTTTCCATAAAATGTTATCATTTAGTATGAAGTGTTTTGATACATTAATTTGCAAAACTTGTATTTATATTTATATTCACCTTAACTTTACTAATCCTATGCTTCAGTATTAAAAGAAAATTATAAATTCATGATTCAAATAATAGCTGATATTCAGATACTTCATACAAATAAGTCAATATTTATAGTGCCGTAAAACTAACACATAAGTGTCAGTTCAGGTTCTAGGTAAAGTTTTGTACAATTACAGTACTAGAGTCAAAAGTAAAAGGTCATAAAATTTTTTAAACTTAAATTCTCGACCGATTGCTCAAGAATTCAAAGACTGTTCAAGGTTCTAATGTTGTCAATTAGTCACAAAACTTACATTTCACACTATAAAAGAGGTGGCATTTATGAATATTGAAATTAGTTTTATCTCTAACTTCATTCAGTCCAGTCATGTCTCTATTTTTTAACACTTTTTTAAGATTTTATTTTGAATTATAAATTTAATAGTATTTTATATAAATTGAGTTTAATTTTTATATCAAATCTTCGGTATGTCTTCGATATCTTCAATGTCTCGTAAGTCGAGTCAGACCTCTTTGGACTCCAGTGATGGCCAGTTGTGTAATATTCACGTGAAAGTGGACCGAAAACTGCTGGAAGTGATGCTCAACGGCGGCGACAGCTCTCAGTCACTGCCATCCGCTGAGGACTTCTTTCTCAACATTTCCAGCAAAAGTCAATCCATTATATCATTTCCACAAAAGCATAGACTTCGCAGTATTGGACTCAAAGAGTCGGAAGTGTTTTTGATTGGCTATAGGGAACAGATTCTTACGGCCAGACGTCTAATACTGGAGACATTGGATCCGTTCAGAAACAAAGTCACTCTCAAGATTGATGTCTCCTTTCCAGACCACTCGCATATTATCGGCAAAAATGGCAAAAGGATTCAATCGATAATGGATTCGACCGAAACTCACGTCCATTTCCCGGATGGGAACCGATGTAGTGCTGAAGAGAAGTCAAATCAAGTGACAATTGCCGGCACTTCACTGGAAATGGCAGAACAGGCGCGACATCTAATCCGCAAGAATCTGCCGCTGACTATAAGTTTCGTCATTGAAGTCAATGCCCGGGATATCAGTCTCGTAGACAGCGCTCACCCAAACATACAGTACTTCCAGATGTCTCATAATGTGATCATTACTTTCCGGTTCAATGAGATGTCGGCATCGGTTGCGGACAAAGTGGCGGCCGTTGTATCCATTCGTGGCACACGTCTTAAGGTCGACGACGTAAGAGACGCCGCCCTTAATGTCTACCAGTATTTGAATGGATCGACGATTGGATTCAATAATCTCTTGGTTTATATTAATGTGGAGATCGCGGCTCAACACCAGGCGTTCGTTAGGGGTCGAGGAGATGCCAACATAAAGGCCATCACAGCACATACCGGCGCGCAGATACTGTTCCCACAGCCGCCTGTCTTGGGCTTGCCATCGATGGCCGACAATCAAAGCACAACAGTTACAGAGCTCGGACTGCAAATCGTGGGTCAATGAGAGCCACAGTAATGCCAATAGTTTTGTGAATGCGTTATGAGATTGTGTTATGTTTTGTTTTGTTATGCATTTGAATCTCAAAGTATTTTCCCAATTGTTTCATATAATGCTCATATGTTTTACTTAATGATCTGTTATTTTGTGTGAATTCTTGTAAAATAAAGTTATTTTTATAGACAATAAAATTCTTGTTATGAATATTCTGTGAAATTCTTTATTATAATATAATTGTGTTTTGAGTGAATTGAATAAAAATATTTATACTTTTAAAATACCTGTATATTGTAGAAATAAGGCTTTTTATACAAATATTATATATATAGCGGTATTAATGAAATTTATGTTCATTTAAAACTTATTTATAAATAAAATTATAATCAAGAATTGATCAAATAATTGAAACATTTGATTAATGCGGATAAAATAGCGGTAATTATATAAAATGGGTTACAATTGCTCGACAATGAAATGCAAGAATTTATGCGAAAAGAAATCAATGGAATGAATGCTTTAAATGAGACCAAAAGGAGTCGTTTTCGCTGTATTAATACAACGACATACAGGATATGATTTATGTAACAATTAGTGAATAAATCTGCAAATGATATGATGGCAGACATACAGTACAAGACATGCACTCCTCAATGAGTTATGTTTTTAACTATACATTAATTTAGTGTTTTTTTAGGTAAATAATTGTATAAACATTTTATTGAAAAACTGTCTTGATGATTTGAACTGCCCAGAATCCAACACTAAATCTCATATTTTCTTATCACATAATTCACATAAAATTCTTAATTTTGAAGTTTAAAAACTATCATTTTATTAGCTATTCATTCATTACTTATACTTAACATGAATATTATTCCCAAATCACAAACATTTTCCATAAAATGTTATCATTTAGTATGAAGTGTTTTGATACATTAATTTGCAAAACTTGTATTGATATTTATATTCACCTTAACTTTACTAATCCTATGCTTCAGTATTAAAATTATAAATTCATGATTCAAATAATAGCTGATATTCAGGTACTTCATACAAATAAGTCAATATTTATAGTGCCGTAAAACTAACACATAAGTGTCAGAAGTCCAAGTCCATTTCAAAACATGTTAATGTCATGATCTCAGTTTTCATTTTCCAGCATTTTAAAAAATTTGAATTTAAGAGTTGGCTAACGAGTTCTTAACTTTCTGACAAGTTCCAAGATTACATGTCAATTAGTCACAAAACTTACATTTCACACTATAAAAGAGGTAGCATTTATGAATATTGAAATTAGTTTTATCTCTAACTTCATTCAGTCCAGAGTACAGAGATAAAAAATTGTGAAAAAATTCTAAAATAAAAGTTAATATTTAAATTATCATAAAATATATTTAACTCAAATTAAAATTATAAAACAGTTGAAAATATAGTTTAGAAGCCATACAGAACGATGTCTTCAATGTCTCGTATGTCGAGTCAGACCTCTTTGGACTCCAGTGATGGCCAGTTGTGTAATATTCACGTGAAAGTGGACCGAAAACTGCTGGAAGTGATGCTCAACGGCGGCGACAGCTCTCAGTCACTGCCATCCGCTGAG